CCTCCCCCGCCACGTGACCCGGCCCCGGGAGCCCACCCGCACGGCCCCGGGGCGCTTTTCGGGGCTCCGGAGGGTAACTGCATGTCGCGCGTGCTCGGGACGCCATCGCGGGCCTCACCCCTCGGGCTCTGCAGGAGAGGAGGGAAAGGCTGCCCCGAGGCCGGCCCAGAGGTGCGGAGGATGATGGACGGGCGGAGTCGAGGGGACTGGGCAGCGTTTGAATGGACGCGGTGCGGCTCGGACGCTCGGTGGACTCCAACCCGGGCTCGGAGACCCGAGGAAGTTGCTGGAACGCTCCGGGCCTGTTTCCTCGCGCTAAATCCGCCACTGTGGAGGCGCTAGGAAGTTTAAGGTGCAGTTTTACGCAAGTGTCTCGTCACAGAGCCTGACTTGTGGCATTTGATGAACGCTGAGTTTAAAAGGACGACTCGGTCGGGAGAGACTGGCCTTGGGGCGGAGGGTGTGCACGTCGGAAGCGCCGAGGGGAGCACGCTCGCAGGCCTGGTTTCTATGGACACTGAATTTGGGGGACGGGATGGAAGTATAGCTAGTGGAGTTGGGACCGATGCATGCTAAGCACTGCACCAGAATTAACTTTCATGACCCTCACAACCTTATGAGGTAGGTTCTAACTAGGAAGATTTTGTAAATAAGGAACCCCGGGCTTCACGAGGTTGACTGGCAGAAGTCACCACGCTAGGAAGTGGCCAGCACTTCAAAGTCAAAACTACAGAGCCTGATGTGTCACGAGAGCCATTTTTGATTCTTGACTAACCCCAGATACCAAAATCCCTTGAAGAGGTAAATTAGTATTTTTGGGGTTGGTGTGTGTGTGTGTGTGTATGGGGGGGTTTCAAGACAGTGTTTCTCTGTAGCTCTGGCTGCCCAGGAACTCTGTAGACCAGGCTGGCCTCGAACTCGAGATCCTCCTGCCTCTGCCTGGGGAGTGCTGGCATTAAAGTCCTGCGCCACCACACCCAGTAAGAAAAAAAAAAATTTTTTTGGGTTTTTGATTTTTCGAGACAGGGTTTCTCTGTGTAGCTTTGCACCTTTCCTGGGACTCGCCCTGTAGACCAGGCTGGCCACGAACTCACAGAGATCTGCCTGGCTCTGCCTCCGAGTGCTGGGATTAAAGGCGTGCGCCACCACCGCCCGGCCAAGAAAAATTTTTTTGAAGATTACTGCATACCAGAACCCTGCTCTCCTCCTCATGTGCCCTCCAGCCTCTCCTCACCTACACTCCCTTTTCCTAACTCTCTGAAATAGGCTCTGTAGTTTCTCTTGTGAATGATGAACCAGAGATTAAAGAGAAGCTGCCCTGAGCTGTCACCTAACCTTCTCACAGTAAGAAATGTTAGGTAGGCTCCAGTCTGAAATCCACTGACAAGTACTGCTTATGAGCAATAATTGGCCTTTTATATCCCATAAAAGAGTAGAAGGGGTGGGGCTGGGGATTTAGCTCAGTGGTAGAGTGCTTGCCTAGCAAGCACAAGGCCCTGGGTTCGGGCCTCAGCTCCAAAAAAGAGTAGAAGGGTAAAGCTTTTCAGATCATTGGGGCGGTTAGAACTTAAAACAGCGGTGCTTGAGGATTGTTTAAGGCTAGGGTGTTCAGTGGTACCATATTTAATTTTTAGGAGTCTGGGGGTGGTACTTGGAACATTCTGGTGGTAAGTGTTCAGGGAGATGGTTTGAAAAGGTGAGCTAGAAGCCGGGCGGTGGTGGTGCACGCCTTTAATCCCAGCACTCGGGAGGCAGAGCCAGGCAGATCTCTGTGGGTTCCAGGCCAGCCTGGGCTACAGAGTGAGTTTCAGGAATGGCACAAAGCTACACAGAGAAACCCTGTCTCGAAAAACCAATAAATAAATAAATAAATAAATAAATAAATAAATAAATAAATAAATAAATAAATAAATAAATAAATAAATAAATAAATAAGAAAAGGTGAGCTAGAGAAATGGGAAGAATCTGGAGTTTTGTTGTTGTTTTATTCTTGAGGCACGGTCCCATTCACCCTGTGCTGGCCTCAACCCCTACCTGTGTGGCTGAGGACACTCTTACATCTGTGCTTCTCTCTCCCTCCCACCCTGGGATTGCAGGCATGCACCCCGATTGCAGGTGTGAATTTATAAGGGTATGCACTATGGAATGTGGTGGGAAACAGAGTGGTACATTCACAGTATAAACCTGGAGCATCTACCTTTGATGCTTGTACTGTGCCCTTAGGCAAGGCAAACCTCATTCTCCACTCTGTACAAGAAAGATAATACCCACCTCATATAACCTACCTCAGGGTTACTATGACAATACAGTTAAACAATTTTTACTCATCCCCCCACCGCCGATGCTGGAGGTAAGTGCTTCTCCACTACTGAGCTTTATCTCCAGCCCGTTTTTTTCTTATTTCACTTATTTTTTTCTTCATTTAAAAAATAGTCTTTTGAAAACTCTGCTTTTTCAAGGCGATGGATGGAGCTTAAAGAAGTACAGTACTGGGCTGGAGAGATGGCTCGGAGGCTAAGAAGTACAGTCCTTGTCTAATGTGCATGAGGCCCAGGGTTGGGTCCCTAGCACCACCCAAAAAAGGAAAAAAAGAAAGATAGGCGTGGTGGTGTACACCTTTCATGTCCCCAGCCCTCTGGAGACAGGCAGGCAGATCTGTATGAGTTTGAGGCCAGCCTGGTCTGTATAGTGAGATCCAGGACAGCCAAGGCTAAATAGTGAGACCCTGTCTCCAAATAAATAAATAGATAGATAGATAGATTTCCCCAGCCCATGCTCACCGGAAGTGACACTAATTAAATGCAATGGGGCACCAAAACAAAATAGACAGGAGAGTTACAAAGAACGTATTCAGCAGGAGGGGCTAACAGAGGTTGGTGAAGGGGGAATATGATCAAAAGTACATTATAAGGACTTTATAAAAGAATAAATGGATTTTTTTTTCCATAAAACTAATTCTAAACCCTGAAGGCCCCTCACTTGACTAGCCCCCACTTCCAAGGCACTGAGCAGGATCATATTCTTGTTATATAATTTTAGTTTCTGAGAGAGCTATCAAAATTCTAGACACCTCAGACCCTGTAAAACCTGGATGGGGCAGAAAGGGACTTAATGTTCTGAGTCGAGTCTAGGCTTTGGAATCACAATTGCTATCTGGACAATTAATTAACTGAACTCTGGCTTCAAATCCCTTCCCAAAGTAAGTTAAAAGATAAATATTGAGAAGCCTGAGCTAAAAAGTGATCAGTAAATCTTTCAAAAGTCCTCCATCTATGAATGAATATTTTTATTTTTAATTAAACTTGTGTAGAGTGTGTGTGAAGGCTAGGGAACAACTTTTGGGAATCAATTCTCTCAGTGTATGAGACCTGTGGGCATTGAACTCAGATTGTCAGGCTTGCCAACAAGTTCCTTATCTACAGAGCCATCTTGCTGGCCCATGAATTAATATTACTATTTACAAGATGCATAGGAGGGAAGATCAAAAGGACTACGGGAGGCTGAACATGTAGCTCAGTGGTCGAGCACTTGTGTATCATGCACAGGGACTTTTATGTGATATCCAGCACTCCAAACAACAACCAAAAAAAGGCAAAGCAAACAATAGGGCAGGTGATTTGGAGAAAACAATGGGATAATACCAATTAAAGTCCTTGTTCTAATTTAAGCCATGACATATTGAGGAAATAAACTGAGAAACAGATTCAAAAATTTAAAGCTAGAGAACACTACGCGCTTCCTCCAGACGCAGGTGGATAACAGCCTGAGTGAGCCTCCACCTCACCAGGAAACTACTGAAGTTCCTGTGCGATCAAAGACTTTTACAAGAACCTGATGGATGGAGAGGACAAAGCCCATGGCAGCTGTGAAGGCCCTGACATTGTATCTGACAAATTAATACTGTCTGCTGGTCATGCATCTATTGAAAAAATAAATAAATAAATAAATTAGAGAGAGAACATACTCTTTTCTGTTACATCAGGACCAATAAAGGCCATGCTGAATGGGACAGGTCGGTTTGCCAACAATGAAACCAGTGAGGTCAGTTTTAGAGAAATCCCCTTCACATGTGCTATCCAAAGTACCCGTGTATTTTACTTACAAGGTCTGCCACATGAACACTACTGAGATTTCCCAACTGCACCGGAACTGCTCATAACTGTGAACTTATTAGATTGTTAAATAAAAAATAGTAAGATTTCAAGGTAAGAGTTACAACTTCATAAATTACTGACAGCATAAGAAATGCAAATTGAAAAATACTGACAATGTACTTTATCTGGAAAGGAAAAAAATCATAGCATTTTTCCTCTGGAAATTTGGAACTACTTAACTTACATTCCCTCAATTCTGCCACTTTTTTGATATAGAAAACAGGAAGTTCCTATTACCCCATTTTACTAACAATAACAATACAGTAAAGAATTCTTTTAAACACAGAGCTTATTCAGCCAAGAACACACCCCACACAATTTATAATTAATACGGAAAATGAAGTTTGCAAATGCCAGGCCAAATAAACACTCCAGTGGCCATATTTATAAAAAGTGATTGGTAATTTTTGGAAACATCTACAAGTGTTTGTGAATAAACATTATAATTTGTCTTTGTAAAAGTATGAAAGTGGGAGAGATGGGAAGGGGCAGAGCTTGTAGTTGGATAGAGCTGAATCATGTGTGGAACAAGAGCTGGCTAAGTGAACACTGGAAATGCTCATCTTGAAGACCCTCTAAAGTTTCAAACATTCTCGTTCCAAGCATCCTCATCTAGGCGCTTGTGAGTCAGCTGTGGTCCTGCTGCTTCCCAAAGCCTTCCTCTGGGTCTCTAAAGTGTTTTGAAGGGGAACTCAGTCACGATAAGGTGTGCTCAAGGCCTGCTCTGAACTCTTTCTCCTCAGCTCTTGCTATTTTGAACCTTTTATCACCAGCTTGCACCAGTTCAGCATCCTGATCTGCTGCTTCCCGGGCTTCCTGCTCACAGGAGATAATTCGGTCAAATTAGTTTGACAGAAAACAAATTGCCTGTCATAAAAATTTCTTCAATGTGACAAAGTAGTAAACACTTACTTACAACACTTTTTAGTATGGGTGCCTGGGCAAAAATGCTTCGTTTGTGCTGAGGGGGTCCTGGTGGTTTGGTGGGCACACGGGAGTATGCCCATACACTGATATATTTGTCAAAGAATCATATGGTGTCTATTTTCTACTTTTTTTTTTTTTACATTCAGGCAAAACACCCATATGCGTACAAAAATAATTTTAAAAATTATAAAAAATGCATGAGTATAAGTTGCCATCTGTAGCTATTAATACCAGAAGAGAAAATGCAGAGTTTGAGGCCATCTTAGTAAGCTTCTTGGTAGGGCCAAACAACCATTATGAAAACTGTTGACCATGAAACCTGCTTTTAACATCAGAAAGTCACTACTGCCTCTTCCCCATCGGAATTAGTAGTAGTGTGAGTCTAGGCACCCAAGTTGGAGGCAGAGATGTTGGACATAGATTTTGAACTTAATTTTGAGGTCCTCTATAGAGCTGGAGGTATGACACAGTAGTAGAACACTTGCCTAGCACTTATGAGGCCCTGTGTTCCATCCCTAGAACCACAATAAATAAAAAAAA